TCCAGGGCCTTCTTTTTCTTGATTGATGGATTGGACGAATTTGATGGCGAGGGTGCCGAGCTGGCGGACTTCATCCAGGATGCCGTGTTATTGAGAACAAATGTCAAGATATGCGTGGCAAGCAGACCCTGGCTCGTCTTTGAGGACGCCTTCCAACGACTGCCCTCTCTTCGACTTGAAGTTCTCACATCTGCGGACATATACCTGTTCGTCACCGAAAAGCTATGTGGTAATCGCATGTTTCTCGAACTGCAGAAACTTCAACCGCAAGAGGCCGAATGTCTCATTTCTGAGGTCACTGCAAAGCCATCTGGTGTCTTTCTCTGGGTTCGCCTTGTTGTAGCATCTCTCTTGGAAGGACTACGGGATGGCGATAGCATTCAGGATTTGCGGGAGAGGTTACTGGAACTTCCGTCAGATCTCGAGAGATTATTTTCGAAGATTTTGGATCAACTCAACCCGGCCTATTTTCGACAAGCGTCAATCTATCTCCAACTAGTGGGCACAGCACACAAAATCCCACTATCACTATTAGATTTGTCACTTGCAGAGGATGAATTCCAAAGAACGACTTCTTTTCAAATTCAGCCCATGTCGCCCGATGAGGTCTCATTTCGGACTGAGACTATGCGACGACGGCTCAGCAGCCGATGTAAAGGTCTTCTCGAAGTGACGTGGTCAGGTGAGACTGGCATCTTTATTGTGCAGTACTTGCATAGGACAGTGAAAGACTACTTGCGCCGGGCCGACATCTGGAGGCATATAATTTCGGGGGCCGAGCCTTTCAATCCAGACTTGATACTAGCTGGCACATTTCTGCACGCGATGAAGGTCATGACACTTTCACGGGACACGTTTAAGACCTTCTGGAAATACTTCAAACTTTGTCTCGATCATTCTCTTTCTTTGGACTCGATAGAAACTCATCTTGAATTCGTCGATGAGTTGAAGCGAACAGGAGATACCTTATTTGCTAGTCAAGCAAGGGCATATCACTGGACAGCAACTTATCGCAAAAGCTTCTATAGGTACAGGAGTGGTCCCAGAGGCGGCGACGACGGAAAGTTCTTTAATTCATTTTTCGACTTCGCCTTCGCATATCCGCTACATTCATATGTGCAACGCGAGCTAGCTGCGGGCCATCCCCTCGATTCACGAATTATCGATAAATTAGATCGATCAATGCTCTCTCATGCGACTGTGCACTCAGATATTAAGATGTTAAACATTGTTTTCGATGCCGGCAGTGATCCGAACCACGGCGATGCCCCGGACTGTACTCCGTGGCATGAAGTATTGAATCTCATGGAATATTGCGTGGGCGAGCTCGATTATTGGGCCGAGGTAGCTGGCCTTTTCCTCGACCATGGAGCAGATCCCTACGCTCGCTCTATAGGCTCGAAGACACTTGTCACTGATATAATCAAGCAAAAGTTCGGTGTTTCGGACCCGATAAAAACTAAGGAGCTGCTGGAAAAAGTGGAGGCAGCAAAGAGAATGTCCGGGAAGTCAAATAATAACAGGGACCCGCTGGAAAAAGTGGAGGCAGCAAAGAATATTTGCAACAAGTCAAATAAAAAGAGAAAGTTGAGAACGTTCTGGTGCTTTTGGTAAAGATAAGGACGCGACACCAACCAAACTTAACATGCTCAACAAGAGAACTTTGAATTCAGTTCTAGCCACCAAAATCGACACTCGCGACTACACCTCCGACTTCGATGTCTAGCAACAACCACCATTTACGGGCAACTGACTGTCAGACATGACAAAGCCCTTTTCGCCAAACTCATCACATATCGCCTGTTAATCATTTTCGTGATCTGTAATACCGCTAGGAAGAGAAGCACCCCAAGTGGGTGAGAAATGAGAGAAGTAGTCTTGCCGTTCCTATCCCCTCTAGCAAATCGCGTGCCTTGTTCAATATTGCGCGTTTAATTGACAAGTTGTCACAACTGACATGCATAGCGCCAGCAGAGGCTGTACTCGAATTAGCTATCGACTATCTTGGAGGCATCCTCCTGTTTGTCTAGATATACGCTATATGCATTCCTTTGACGTTTTGCGTCATGTATTTGGAGATTTTGAGCGGTTCTGCGGGTGTTGGTATCCTCTAGATATGTAGTAATCTGAACGCACATCAGATACTGAACAAAGCCAATAATAGTCTGTAATGGCCGAGTCGTGAATTCGTTTGTGGCCTGTATCCAAACTATCTAGCTCACTGTCTTCTGTCCTCCCACAAAAGCCGATTCCAAGAGCTCAAAGGTGCACATATCATGCAAAGCTATACATGCATGTGCCCAGTCTATCTTTCCAGTTTTCTCTTCGCCATCAACGCCTTCCCAACACTACTATCATTACCCTTCCCAATCTCCCCGTTAATCCATTCCCCCACCTCACAAAGCGTATCTAAATCAACCCCGGTCTCCATGCCCAAGCTCTCAAAAAAGTACACCAAATCCTCGGTACTCACATTCCCCGTCGCGCCTGGACTATACGGACAGCCTCCCAACCCCCCCACACTCGCATCAAACCTTCGAATCCCATGCTCCAAACTAACCGCGCTATTAACCAAAGCCTGTCCATACGTATCATGGAAATGCATCGTGATATCCTCATTCCTAATCCCCGCCGCCTGCATCGCATTTAACAATGCCGCTGTCCGTGGCGCGGTGCCCATGCCGGTCGTATCACCGAGATCAATCTCATCTGCGCCCATCTCCATCAGATCACACGCTATCTCCGCCACCTTCCGCGGATCTACATCGTACCCTTCAAACGGGCACCCCAGCACCACAGAAATATATGCTCTAACCCTCAACCCATGTGCTTTCGCTCCCGTAATCACTTCCCGGAATCGCTCGAGCGAGGTAGCGATGTTGCAGTTGAGGTTCTTCTCAGAGAAAGATTCGGTTGCGGCGGCGAAGACGGACATCTCGATGAATGGCGGGTTAGAGGTAGGCTCAGCTGCGGATTCATTCGGGATGCCGGATTCGTCTGGTTCGTAGGGTGTGGATTGGGGAGAGAAGGTTTGGTACGAAGTTGGATGGGCCCTTAATATCGAAACTGCGTTGTCGAGACCGCGGGAATTTGGGGCCAGGAAGGAGTAGGCAATTGGGTTTAGGGAGTTTGGGGGATATTTTAGGATATATTCGAGTATTTCGTTCGAGTCTGCCATCTAAATACAATCTTAACACTTGTCATGAATTGGGGGGAGGTGGGGGGAAAGTACCTGCGGCACCCATTTCGGCGATACGAAGGATCCAGCTTCGATGTCTGTCAGCCCAGTCTTTGATAGCCGCTCAATCAACTCTATCTTCGTCGTCAAAGGTATGATCTTCTTCTCATTCTGCAAACCATCGCGGGGTCCGACCTCGACGACCTTGACGAAGTTGTTGGTGGCCTGATGTTGGTGGTTATGGTTTGCGGCTGGCTCAGCAGCTGTAGCTAGGCCTCGCAGATGTCGAATCCGCAGATTGGTATGGCAGCGTCGAAGTACAGGTCGTAAGAGCGACATCTTGAAGGCGCATGTTCGTGATGAATGGCGCGGTGGTGAGAGGTTTGAAGAGCGTGCGGTTACAGTCGGTGGAGGTGGGAATGCGGGGAAGCTCCTGCACGGACCACATTTTCGGCGATTGAAAATAGGGGCTTAAATGGCCTCCTCAAAAAGCCACTGTTTTCCTCCATCTTCAACTTCATCATCGCCACTTCTTCCTTTTAAGCAACCTCACAGGGCAAAGTCAGTTCAAGTGAGATCTGAACTGTACGTCTCATACAGTCTCTTTGCGAGCAATAGGCCTCAGGATCATTATCTCCAAGAAGGAGCACACGAGGGTCTCTCGTCGAAAGGTTCGTTTGGATATCTTATGCAGATCTTCCGGGCCCTCTTCGGAAATAGAGACCTCCTATCTCATACAATATTACAGTCATTTGCCTTTCAATCCATTTTGGGGAGATTTTCCTGCGACAGCACGGCAGCACGAGTACAGAGCAAGGCTCCCGAAGAACAGATCTTTCCCCAAATCCCGCATGTCCTTCATCTCTTCCACTCGTTCATTCAAGAAATCAACCACGGCCTCCTCGTCCCTTCAAACTTCTTGTTTAGTCTCCGATAGTGCAAATATAACCCGAGACTCAAAACTGTACCGAGCGCCAAGAACCTTGCATTGATGCCATGACCAAACCCAGCAACGGTTTATCCAGCGCATTATAGATTCACACTCCCATAATCTGTCCAGGTCCTGTGAAAGCGATGTTCAGATCTGATGCAAGAGAACCGGCTGTAGTAGAGGGCACGGTGTCTGAGACCCAAGCATAGAGGGGTGGAAGACAGGCGAAGACGCCGCACGTGCTGAGAATGAGGAAGGCGTAGCGGGAAAACATCGCGCCCCTCGAGCTCGAAAAAATGCATATGGCCCATCCAAGCGTTGGGCTGTGCAGAGTCATCGGTGTCCCGGATCAGCGGTATGAGGAGCAAATTGCTGCGTTTGTGGAGTTTAGTTGGCAGGGGCCAGCCTGTGCCTAGAGATGACGAGCTGAGAGCTTTGGAGAGAGAGAGAGGCTGGCGCACTTCAAGCAGCTGAAATATATTTGGTGTTTGGGCCAGTAGAAGTAGTTTATGATGTGCCCTAAGACCGCGAGTAGGAAGCTGAGGAAGCCTGATTTGAGGGTTATTGGGAAAGGGATTCTTGGAGAGGTCGTTGTTGCTTGTCAGATATCTGCGCGGTTGCAAGCTTGCTCAACAGGATTAGGATTTCTCGATGACGGTAATGCTTAACCAATTCGTCTGTTTTACTGGTTGTCTGTCTTCTCGGGAGTCGTACATAGAAGGATAGTTCTTGCCAATTATAGTAGACTCGTACACATTCCCTTACTTTCTCGCTAAGCAAAAAAAGGAGCTCGCTTAAGGTGACTCTGCCTTTCCATCCTCTCCCTCACGCCATTCAACTCTCCTTCCCTTGGCCTACCCACCCAAAAAGAAATGCAAAAAATAATTGCTTTGGAGTTGACTGGAATCGAACCCGTGATCTCATCGAGTCAATCTACTGGGAACGATTTCCGCTGCCGTGGTCACCCGAAGAGTCCCGTAAACAGCGAATTCTCTCCCAGGTCGATCGTCTGCTATCGGAGCCCTTTACCATTAAGCTACAACCCCTATCGTTTTGAATTATTTTGCTTATTTTGGGTTATGAAAATTAGGCTAGAGCAGGGGTGAATGTGAGAGTTGCTCAGCACGGTCGAGGATGGAGGAAAGAAAAAAACGTGAAAAGAGAATATTCTCTCTAAAAGGCGGCAAGGCCACAACGCTCAAAAAAAATTGATTTGGAGTTGGCTGGATTCGAACCAGCAGTCTCACCGAGTATGCAAATACCATATACGTATGCCAATACGTATGCCAATCGCATAGATGCAAATCTATGTGAAGGACCGAGTATGCAAATACTGGTAGTACTTTCAGTGCGCTTTACCATTAAGCTACAACCCCTGAAGTTTTAAAAGAGATCGCTTATTTTGGATTATAGGTATTGGTGTATGGAATGCAAAATGCACTTTTAATAAGAGAGGTTTCTGATCCATGAGTCACTTAATGAGAAGCGTGAGGTTTACCAAAAAGTCACAGAATCAGAAGTGCAACAGGGCCAAAAGCCATGCTCTCCATTACCTCATTCTAGTTACTTAATCCCCAAAGTTCCCATATATGAGCCTCTATAATCAGTAGCCACAATGGTTTTGTGTTCCGTCAGCATATGGCCACAGTGGTGGCAATGGATTATTAGCTTTAATCCACCAGCAACATGTATCAGCGCGATGGCCACAGCAGGTGCAGACGGGGTTAACGCTGGCGTCTTGGCTTGGTAGGGGCATAGGGGTCGGGGTAGGCCAGGCATATTCTTCTTCCCAACCAATAAGCTATATACTAAAAAATCGACCCCATCGTTTTCGGTGAAAAAGAAACTTATTGATGTGAGGTGGCGCATAGTGGCTTTACACATGCTAACCCGTAATTCTTTTCTTAGCCAATAATACTTGAGGCTCTCGCTATTCGCTACATACTAACGGGGCTGAGCATTTGTACGGGGGGCTGTGAAGCCTGAGAGGCGGTGATTGTTCTGCTTAGCCAATCAGCTATGTGTTACAGAGCCGACCCTGTGGTTTTCGGTGAAAAGCTATACCCAGTGGGTGGAGGCTGTGCAAACGGCACGAATCAATGCTAAGCCGTAAATTATTCATAGCCAATAATATGTCTGGCTCCCGCTTTACCACGCCGAGTAACGTGACAGAGCAGTGAGCAGATATCCCGGGGCTACCTTCGCAGCGAATTTCTGTTCAGCCAGTAAGGTGCACGTTATAGCATCGGCCCCAGACTTTTTCGACCTTCTCTTAGAAACGCGACTCGCGATCGGGGGCCGCAAAAAACGTTTATGCTAAGCCGTAAACTAGTCTGAGCCAATAATAGGGAAGGCTCCCCCCGCTTTTACGCCGAGTAGTGGGCCTGTGTGGATTTGTGAGCGCCACTGTATTGTACCTGCACTGTATCTCATATCAACTACAAAGTTTAGAGTAGCAGAAGGTTGTGAGGACTTACGTAACAGCACCGGAAGTCGTTAGGGCCCAAGAAAGGCATGGTTGTTTATGGATGTACTTGCGGTTGCTGTGTATGGTAGTTATATGTTCTGAGCTCTCCTTGGTATTTGGTTTTGGGTTGTATTAAGACTTGATCTAGTTTTAAACTTGGTCGTGGTTAAGGAAGCTTTTGACACTGCAAATTTGTTTATTGTTAAGGAAAGAAAGCTTCGACCGGATGGTTTTATTTAGACCTGGGGATCAGAATTGATGGAGACCGCGAATCATCACCATATATGTACCTCTATTGGAACTGGAGGCCAGTTTTTTTTAAACAATCACGCAAATTGTGAAGATTATTCGAACTGGTGAGTTTTGTGAATAACAGTGAGAAGTTTCGGAAACGGATACTCTGGGCTTAGGATTATTTTCAAATTCAGGCTTTCTATGGGAAGGTATCTAGTCTAGATGATCCTCTATCCTATATTTCTCAATTGTTTCCCCTAGTCTGGAACAATGGGTGCTGAATATTGACGAAGGGCTCTTTAAAGCCATCGGCAATGTTTACAATTTTCATGCCCGCATAGTAGGCAGTAAGGATGAACGGTCGCGTCTTGGAGGGTGCCGCTGCACTATCTCGTATATTAGACTTGATGCGTCAAATGGGTTAAGAGATTTACCTGACAGCAACGAAAGAGGAGTTGGCCAATGAAAGGCATGCTTGTTTATGGATATACTTGCGGTGCTGTGTACGGTAGTTATATGTTCGGAGTTCTCCTTGATGTTTTGTTTTAGTTTGTGTTAAGACTTGATCTGATTTCGAATTTGGTCGCCGCGAGAGAGACTTGTAACACTAGAGATTTGTTTATTGTGAGAGAGCAGACTTGAACAGAGTTTGGGGTTTTATTTATACATGGGCATCGGAACTTGTGAATGATCGAAATCGAAGAAACCGCGAATCATGGCCATATATATACCTCTATTAGAACTGAAGGCTAGTATTAAAAAGTAGCACAAAGGGTGACGATTATTCGAACTGATGAGTTTGTGAATAATATTGAGCAGTTTCAGAAATCTCCGGAGTTGAGATTAGTTTAAAAGCCAGGCTTCCCATATAAGGTATCTAGTCTAGATAATCATTTGTCCTATAGTACTCTTCATTCACCGTAGTCTAGAACTACGGGCGCTGAATATGAGGATCGCCATCTTAAACCCATTTACAATTTTTACAATTTTTATGCCCGCATGCGTTGCAGTTCGGAAACCGAGTCGCGTCCTGGAGCCAGCTGCGGCACTGTCTCTTGTATTAGACTTTTTGCAGGAAACGGGCCAAGAGACTTACTCGACAGAAACAGAAGTGGATTGGGCCAAGCCAAGGCATTCTCTAATGTGTGGCCCGCGTTGAAGCCTTTGACTTTTTTCATGTGTGTTCACGACCTAATTTTTGGTTTGAGTTTTTGTAAAAATGCTGGGGGTTGAAGTTTTAATGCATGTATGCAGTTGATATAAAACGGAGAACGTGAGAGGCATTAAAAAGATTTTCAGGATCCTTATATAGTAGGGCGGGGCTAGAAACTGTGAACATTCAAGTCCTTGCGGAGTGGGTTATTGTTTATGTTTGTGTTGTCTTTCTATGCTATTGAATGTCCGGTTTACGTCTAGTAACTTCTATTACTACTCTGTTATTGTTTAAGATTACCTCGCATCTGTAAATATTTCTCGAAAAACTTCTTGCCTTTTTTTTTCCTTGTCATGCACCGATCAAAAGTCAACTCAACTATCTCAGGGCTTCAAAGCAATCAAATCTCAACCGGTATCGAAGCTCTTGCAAGATAAATAAAATTCAACATGCCTTGGTTGGGCTAGAACAACTTCCGCTGTTGTAGAGTAATGTTCCACATGCTTCCTAGTCGATGTATTCTAACAAAGTAATAGTGCTTCTACAGCCGGCCTGGCTATTTACCGCCGTGGCAAGACCACTCTACAAACCCTAACTGCCTAGTATGTGGCCACTCAGCCTGTAGGACCTGCATCTGGCAGAGGCCTCCGCCGCGACCGCGACCACAACCTTGACCGACAACGTAGGTTATTGGAAAAGAGTGGACTGGAAACCTAGAGTGAGGTGATAGTTAGATAGTTTTAATATTAGCATGGCTTTCCAATATACCAAAAGATCAGTTCCAGAATGCTTTTAAGAGGCTTGGCTTCTCTTCTCTAATATTACACTTATAGTAACGCTTCCACCTTCTCACGACTTGGCCTCATGATATGTCGCTTTCTTTTTAGTAGTTTCGAGACTGATAACATTTTGCCTTACATTGCATTCGCATTTTGCAAATCAAATCACGGCTGGAGTAGTTGGGATGTAGGAAACAGGTTTGAGAGGCTTTTGAGTTTTATCTATTCCCTGAAGTTTTCTTCCATCACTGGCTCGGACATGCCACCCCATATCCCGCCGTCCTACCAAGAATGCAAAGATTTCGTAACCATACTCCAACCAAATCTACGGAAACGCGCTTTCACCCGTTTTGAATCAACCTTTGGCTATTAATTAATAGCCATAGCCTTATGCAAATAGGGGGCTGCTAGCCCCAACACAACCAATCCTGCGATCGAGAGTGCTACTATAGCGGCTAAGCCCGGATACCAAATGCCTCTCTTCATAAGTGCTCTTGAAGGGAGTGCATGGTGTTGGCTACTGTGATCCTTTGGAGAAAGGAGACTGGAATTCGTATCAAGCCGTGAGGGAGAGATCACCGAAGCGGTAACGGTAGCTGCCTGTAGACTGACCAGGATGGAGAAGGCGAGGGCAAGCGTAAAGATAAGTGTCAAGCTTGGGGTTGCGCTTGAGAATTTCATGATGTACAGGGTAGAGATAAGTGTCTGTATAAATCCTCTTGAGGCTACCTTCGATGATTGGGTGTAACAGATACGAAGTAAGGGTTATGAATTTGGAGCGTTTGACAGATGTGAGAGAGGAAATGAGATGAACAAGATCGAAATGGAGAGGTGTTTTTAAGGGGGAAACTGATAGAACCTATGAATCAAAACAGTCAGAAGGCCTGGGGTATTCCCCAAATTCCAAACTAATGACTGAATGAGACGAGATTATGCGCCTTTCACATCATTTCCGACTTGTAGCTAGGTGAGAATCACTGTCCTCTCTGTAAATGACTGAAATTTGAATCTACTCTTGAAAGTGCACGGAACCAACTTTCCTGACATTCCTTTCTTAATTTTTATACTTGAGCCTCTATACTGAAGAATGGCGTAAACGGACCATGTGGGGTTTCAGCGCATTCACGCTTCGCACTGTGTTCTAGACATGCACTTCCCGAGGAGCAACCAAATGGTAGCCAGCCTCCAATAAGATCCATTCAACTTTTCGAAGCATTCACGACGCCACGGCTGGAGCCAGTGAACATCACAATTCCGGGGATTCCCTTTCCTTCCCTCCCCCTCATGAAGGTCAGCACGTGATCGACATTTTTCCAAACTTGAGAAGTCCTTTTTTTTTCTAGTTACCTATCAGAAACCTTTCATCAGCATTTTCCTCGACCTTGTGCCAAATTCAGTTTTCGTTGTCCAATCAAACCCCATTCAATATTCACTTCTCGCAAGTCGTGACTCCCGGAATCAAGCCCGAGGCAAGAAACATGTCATCCAGAACGGTATGAGCATCGCCATTCTCCTCAAACTCCCTCATGTTGATCCGATCTGCAAACATCTAGGATCAACTTGCATAGTATTGGATGAATGCTTCCTCGTTTTATTTCCCTTTTCCTGGAGACGTGAGACTGAGTATGGATGAATAAGCTTGAAAACCTTGGAGGGACATCTAGCTCAGGCTTCCAAGGTCTACGATTCTGACAGTTACAGTTACAGGGGTGCAATACACATAAGGTGAAGCTTGAAAAGTGA